GGAGGGAGGAGAGTAGAAACATGGCGGAGGAGGGGAGACGCTGTGGATTCGGAGAGGGAGGAAGATGAAGAGGCGAAGGAGGAGGAGGAGGAGGAGGAGGAGGTGGAGAAAGATGGCGAAACATATGTACTTCGAGGCGGTGGCAAACGGAACCGATTTCACAAATGGCGGGGGATGCCGCCCACTTGGTGTGGCGTGCATTCTTCCGACATGCCCTCTGGATCTTGACAAACTCGCCAATTGAGCCGACCCATTGCTGCCGTCCGTTGTTTCAACCTATCCAGTGTGTGCCACAAGAGTGCGACACAATGCCTGCGACATATCAACTGGAACATACACACACTTGATACTCTTGCCGTGACCCGTTATCCCAACACACGGGCTTCGACTAGTGCGTCATCTGCGTGGTTGTTGGAGGCTGGGCGTCTCTCGCACTCTCTGGCTGACCACCACGAGTGGCCCCAAAGCCTCCTCTGGATCACCCGTGAAGCGATAAGCTGGCGAGGAGAGGCATGGACGGACGTCCTGCCTAGGACTGCTCCTGGGGAAACATTTGTGAAGGGGCCCTGGGACACACAAAGAAATAGACACAAGTACCAGGGTTCCCCACATTTCCCAATATTTTCTGGGTTTCTATCTTCCCCCCCACTGCCCATATTTTCCCATATTTTTCCCTGGGGAATCGACGACTCATTGTGACTGTGTGTTTGTTCCCCTCCTAAATTTGGTTGACCCTCAGGCCCTGTGTTGGGCGGTCGGCACGAAAAACAGTGAGAAGGAGCAAACTCCACGAAGACAAATACAACTTCTCAGAAGGCCAGGGGGCTTCTGAGAAGCCCCGCCGCCTTCTGAGAAGGCGTCCTCCTTCTCACCTCCCCCTCGCTCGCCGCCGAGGTGTGAACTGGGGAAGGGACAGGAACAAGCCGCAGCATAGTGTTTGTCTGGGCCGGAATCGCCCCCCTCCCCCCCGGCCGCCATCCTGTTGTGCTCCTTCTCCTGTGCGGATGTTGCTCCCCCCTCCCTATTCCTAGACCCCTCCCCCTCGATTATCCTCCTGCTCCACCACCCATCCGACTGGCGACAAACCAAGGACAATGCCAGCATCCGTCACAAAACACCACTCCAGCACTTTGCCCACGATCACTCTATTGCTTTGTCACAAGGGCGACGGGGGCGGCATCATATTGCCCCGCGTGCTCATGCCCACCACCCCTGTCCAAACAACAATGCAAAGCACATATTGCAGCAACATCTACGACCATGCGTAAGCGCCCCGCGATCAGTTTGCACTGCTATCTGACAAGGGTGAGGAGGGTGACCTGGCACGTGCGGCGCACCTCATGGGCGTCGCGCACGTAGCTGGCGTCTGCATTGAGTCCAGATGGCTGTTGATGGGAGTTCCTGCCTATGCTGATTCGCGTGCTACCTCTATGGTGGGAATGCAAGTGGGAGTGCGGGTGGGAGTGTGCGTGACGACTGTCCTTCGGGGCGGGGTGTGGCTTGATCACTGTTCCCTATTAGTGAACACCCCCTCCGCCAGGCGACTGGCAGCCAACCAGGATCAACGCCCCCCCTCCCCTGTCAACAAACAGTACTCAGCACACTTTGAGGCGAAGTCTTGGATCATGCTCGTGGGCCCCGCGAGCACTTTCTATTTCCCAGCTTCCCAACCATGCTGTGGTGTTGGGTCCTCGCCTTGAGGAGACAGCGCCCCGCTTCTCCTCTCCTCTCCTCTTTCATCCTCCCCCTACTCCCTCCTCTTTGTTGCTGTTCTCCTCATCAATTGTCGGCACACCCCTCAAACGCTTCGTGGCCCTACAGGGAGCTCCACCGAAGGCCTCAGTAGCGGTGTTCGCATGCTGTTCGCCTACCCAGAATAGCGCTTCGTGGCCCCATAGGGAGCTCCATCGAAGGCCTCAGTGGCGGTGTTCGCATGCGGTTCCCCCACCCAATGCAGCGTTTCGTGGCTTTGTAGGGAGATCCACCAACGGCTTCAGTGGCGGTGTTCGCATGCGGTCCTCACCCAGTATAGCGTTTCGTGGCCCCATAGGGAGCTCCACCGAAGGCCGCAGTGGCGGTGTTCGCATGCGGTTCCCCCACGCAGTACAGCGTTTCGTGGCCCCATGGGGAGCTTCACCGAAGGCCTCAGTGGCGGTGTTCGCATGCAGCTCCACCACGCAGTGCAACACGTCGTGGCCCTATATGGAGCCCAACCGAAGGCCCCAGTGGCGGCCCCTCCCCAGTGCGGCGCACACATCACACGTTTCGCGGCCCCTTAGTGTGTTCCACTTAAAAGCCCCAGTGGCAGCGCCCACATGTCGGCCCCGCCCCATATCGGCCTACCACCCGCATGCTTCATGGCCCCATGGGGAGATCCCCCGAAGGCGATATCCGCAACGACGGTACTCAGAACTGCACATGGTCGGGTCCTTCGCCAGGATCATGTTTGTCTTGGCCAGAACGGAGGGGGCGCCCTCGTATTGCATGCTTCGCCCTGTCCATAAACAGTAGGAATTCGTGGCTAAATCTGGATCATGCGTTGCCACCCTGCGATCGCTGACTACCAGTGTTTGACAGGGAACGCGGAGGTGCTGGCATATTGCCTGCTGTGTGCAGGCCCATCAGACGCCATGATGGCCTCCCCGCCGCGATTGTGCACTGGTGTTCGACAAGGATGGTGGGGGCCGACATGTTTCTCGATGTGTGCTGTCACGTGCGCGGGCGCACCTGGCACAGTCTGCGCGTGCCCCGGACGTGGCGGGCGCACCTTGCGCGGCTGGACCATGCGGCACACATGGCGCACATGGAGCACATGCGCATCTGGCGCGCGAGGCGCGCCTGGCACGCTTGGGCCCCAGGGGGGCCTGGCGCACCTCGAGAGCCTGGCACGCGTGGCGCACCTCGCCCCATCGCGCACATGGAGTCTGTTTTTTTCCCACTTGCTGCCCATCCGTAGACGACCTCTGAACATGCTGAGGCCACGGTTCTGCCTATCTGGGAGGGCGGGTGGGAGTGAGCGAGACAGCTTTCGAGCGGGGAGGGTGTCTCGACCCCTCCCCCTCCCACCTCTCCCTGGGCCTGGATGAAGGGGGTGCCGCGATGGCTTGGAGGGTCCAAGGTGGCCTCAGTAAAAATGCCGAACTCATAGTTTGTTTGTTCCTAGTTTGTGGGCCAAGTTTGGCCTTCTGGTGGGGCGGGGCTCATCGGCGCCCCACCCCTTTCTTGATCGACTGCCTCTAAGATAGCCCGAAGACGGCCCAAAGCCTCCAAGAGAGCGCAACGAGGGCCTCAAGAGGCGCCCAGGATGCCTTTACAGGCCCCGATCGCACAAGATGTCTCCAAGCGGCATCAACGGGTCCCCAAAAAGAACCGACAACGCTCCAAGATGAATACCAAGAGCCGGCAAGAGACCCTAATACGGCCCAAGAGACCTCTAAGGGGCCCGCAGGAGACATCCCAAGAGACCCAAGCAGGCATCTAAGGGGCCTCTGGCCGACATACATTCCCCGATATCTCCAGCTGATGTTACGCTCCCACGTTCCGGGCAGCTCCGCTGGGAATCGCATCTGGATGGGCTAGTGGGGATGCGCAAAACGTCAAGTTTTTTGTATCCCGAGTTCTCTTCTGACGCCCACAGACTCCGACGACGCCCCCTGGAGGCACCAGGTGGCAAACATAACCAACCTCAATTCTTCGAGACGTTGGCGGTCTCGATTGGTGGCGCGCAGAGTGGGTAGGGGGAGGGGGGAAGCGCGCACCAGGAGGTAGGGGGAGGGGGTAAGGCTTTTTTGAGGGAGGCTGCTTCTTAGAAGGCACTGGCCCTGCACGTATGATGAAGGCCCGCGCCTTCTAAAAAGCAGGGGTGCTTCTAAGCAGCCTGCCCCCCTCACCCCTGCCCCCCCTCTGCGCGTGGGGCCACACACCCACTCCGGGACCTGTCCGAGGGGTGCGGGGTCTGGCCAGGATCTCGAAGAGATCCCGGCCGTGGCCACGAACAGCCTCCAGAGATGCCCCCCCAGAAAACGCACAGAACGACCTCGATCTTAGAACTCTTCGTCCTCGAAGACCAAGGCGTTCTTCCCAACCATCCTGCAGTGTTGGGTCCTTGTTTTGAAGAGACGGTCCCCGCGGTCCTCCTCCTCCTCCTCCTCCTCCTCCTCCTCCCTCCTCCTCCCTTCTCCTCCCTCCTCCCGTCACCCCCCATACCTTGGCACACCCCTCACACGTTTCGTGGCCCCATAGGAGGCTCCACCAAAGGCCCCAGTGCCAACGTCCACATGCGTCCCGCATGCCAATTTCGGTACACGCCTCACACGCTTCGTGGCCCCATACGTAGCTCCACCGAAGGCCCCAGTGCCACCGTCCACATGCGTCACCCACGCCACTTTCGACACCCCCTGCACACCTTGCGTGGCCCCATAGGGAGCTCCACCGAAGGCCACAGTGCCACCGTCTACATGCGTCCCCCCATACACACACATTTCGGCACACCCCTCACCTCCCTGTCGTCGGCGACACGCAGGAGTGACCCTGGGGTCTGGGTCGGGCGTGTCGCCCCACAAGCGGATCTCGGAGGAAAAATGAAAATCCCACCCGAATGCTCGAAAAGAGAAACGAACAGTCGGATAATCGTCCCCAGACTGTTTTTGACTATCTCTGAATACCTCCTGTAGAGGGACGTGCCCGACTTGACCCTAGGCATGAATGGCCTTCGGTGCGCGGCTTTTAGGGGGCCGCAGGGGGGGGGCCTAAACGCAAGCGCGCAGGCCTGTGCTGCTGACACTCCTGCGGGCCCGCACCAGAGGTCACTCCGGCGAAGGGCGACTCCTACGCGAAGCCGATTTCCGCCAGGCTGGCCCACCCTGGAATAGAAGCAGGGGCCCAGCCTGGCAAGGGCGCCGCCCAACAAACTCGCAAGCCACAAGGGTGAACGAGGGTGGGTTTCGAGCCCAATCCCCCTGCTCCTCCTGGCCACCCGCCGTCCCTGGCGGGCGGATCACCCGCGGGTAGTGCAACGGGGGGATGGTCCGGTTCTGGTGCGGGCTGAGGCCCTTGAGCCAGGCCTCGCGGGAGGGGGCGAGGTGGGTGTCGAGGCGTGAATGCAGCAGGCCCATGTCATGGAGCAGATGCGAATCAGTTGATTCCATCCATGGCCATGAGCCTAACATGGACCCCACACAAAAGGTTTGGTCTTTGACCGCTTGATCCAGTGGATATGACCCAGCGTGGACCCCAAACAGTAGATAAATGCAACATACATGGCGACATACATCGCAATGCTAAGCTTAGGTCAGGCATGTCCCCCTGCAGACGGATTTTGACGGGAAAATGCAGAGTAGTCAAAACATGCTTAAGCATAATAAACCCATGCTCGAAAAATCACCCCCATACTATTTTTGGGGCTAGTCTGAGTACTCCTCCTGTAGGGGGGCATGCCCGACTCAATTCTAAGCAGGACATAGCAACGCAAAGTCATGCAGACCAGTTCGCAGCCATGACAAGCGAGGGGCAGTGGGCGCCCGAGAGGATGCGAATAATGAGGAGGCAGAGTCAACATAACGACGCGCAAGAACTCGCCACATAACGACACGGACCAAATACAGCCGGCAACCATCACGGACCTCTCTGCAAGCATCCTGCTGGATATTCATGCTCCTGATGTGCGACGTCGCGATGCCCAGAGGCCTGTCGTACACCTATGAATGCACGTGGTGTACTTCGTCTTGCGTGCATGCACCATGCTGTTCAATGCACCCTCGCAATGTAATTTGCCTGTGTACGGCTGATCCGCGTGATGATAGAGACAGTGCGAATGTAATACAGTTACATCCCACAACACTCTCAACACGAAACAAAATCATTCACGAGGCAACAACCACAATCAACAACGACCAACAACGCCCAACAAAAACAACAAACGACACTATACACACCATCGTCCCGCGATACGCCTTCAAGCAAGAACAGCACTGGCAGCGGCGACAGCGGCAACTATATTCTCTCATGTGTATTCGAAACTGCCAGGAGGCTGGAACACAAACACACACACACACACGACTGGATCCACATGCAGAAGCTGAAGAGGCAACCAGCTGGACACACAGGCGGAAGGTCAGCGTAATAACCTTTTAATACCCGCCACCGTGCCCCCTGGCACGAGTTGGAGTCTCAGGTCCTTTGCTCGCTCCTCTAAGCCTGAATCTCAAATCCTGAAGATTCTCTTAGGGGCGGACCCCGAATTCTTGAATCTCTCGGAGCTTTTCGATTGGCTCCTGGGGCTTGTCGCATGAGTCGATCAGGCCCAGAAGGGCCCCAGGACGGGCCAAGAGTGCCCCAAGAGGCCCCCAAGATGCCTCAAAGAGGGCCCCGAATCGTTGAACGATTGTTCCAAGATGCCCAAGATGGCCCCCAGTTGGCAGAAAAAACGCCGAAGACGCCCCAGGAAGCTTCCGAAAGCACTCTCGAGAGGGCCCCAAGAGCCAACGATCGCCCAATTCCCTTACGAAAAGATGCGCTCCTAGTAAAAATGACTTTTCGGCCTTCACGGCGTTGATGACGGCTCACGAGGCCCCCAAGACCGCCCCAAGACGGCCCCAAGAGGCCCCCAAGAGGGCGCCAAGATGGCCCAAGAGGGCCTAAAGACGGCCAAAGAGGCGCCCCAGTGCTCAAGAGAGCCCCAAGACGCCCCAAATGGGACCCAAAATGTGGAACCCGAACCGATAATTCGAGCCTTCCGTCCCAAGATGCCTCCAGGAGGCCCCAACGAGGCTCCCAAGAGGCCCCAAGATGCTCCCAAGACGCACAAAAAGGCCCCCAAACGGCCCCCAATACGCCTCAAAACTGTCTCCGCGAGGCCTCACAGAGGCCTCCCGCGACATCCCAACGAACATCCCAGGCACAGTGGCGGAACGGGCCGAAGGACATTCGAGGATGGCAAGCGCTGGAAAGACCTGCCGCCACATGCGCATCCAGCTCTGGCTCAGGCCGGCCACGCCATCTGAATCCAGCTTCCTGGCAACCTGCCGAGCAGCCAACACAGCAGAGCGCAAGCGAAAGGAGAGCCAGCCCTGCCTTTCGCGCATGAATCACGAAATGCTTGCAACCACCTTTGGGCACTCTCTCTCTCTCTGTTCTCTCGCTCTCTCTCTCTCTCTCTTCCCTCTCTCTCTCTCACTCTGGCGATGCAGAAGCTAGCCCGTGAATTGGGACCTCCCAAATCCAGTACTCCGCCTCCTCCTGATCCTCCTCCTCCTCGTCCTCCCCCGTCCTTGGCTGCTCTTTTCCCTCCTCCTCCCGCTGCCGCTGGCCCTGCCCTAGCGCCTGATCCTCGTCATTTCCTCTTTTCGTCCTTCTCCACCTCTTCCTCCTCGTCTTCCTCCTCTCTCCTCATCATCATTCTTCCCTCCTCCTCCTCTTCCCCCTCTCCTCCCTTCTTCCATCCTCCTTCTGCGTTGGACAAGCGCAAGCTTGCGTCAACCGTCGCGTCTTGATGGCCGCGATCCGAGAAAAAAATGATCGGACCCATCTTGACCAACCTCAAACTGTAAAGCCAACGCGCGCACGATGGGAACTAGAAGGGCGAAAAACACTGGACAGGAAAAGAAGCCCGCTAGGACACAGAGCAGTGCAATGATGCCCCAGAACCTCCCAAACCCTCGACCTCCTCCGTCGCACTGTCTCACTACCCTCCACCCCACGTGAGGTATGGCCTTCACCGAAAGCTCGCAGCAAGGCCGATATAAATCGCCCTCCAATGTTGAATGGGGAGGTAGACGCGTGTACTGTAGTTGTGCTCGAGCGTCGTAGCGTGTGCCCGCTCGGCGGTCGGTCGGCCCTCGAGTGGGGCTGCCCGCTGTCGCATTCCTCCTCCTCCACGCTGCCTCTCCACCCCGAACGAACAAAGCTCAAGGGGCCCAAGGACACACACACACATACATACATACACACAAATAACAGGATTCTCCATAGTTTCCCATATGTTTCGAATTTTCGTCTTCCCCCCACTTCCCATATTTTCCGATATTTGTCCTGGGAGTCGACGATTAATCGTGTCTGCGTGTTTTTCCCCTGCTGAATAGCTCGTGAGAGGAACATTCACTGATGAGCAGCAGAAGCTGTCATGTGTTGAGATCATGTGGTTTTGTCAACTCCTGCTGTTTCAGTGTGAAAGCATGGCACTGGGACCATCGACGGGATTCGTCCAAACGCATGCCGCTGCCTCCTCCTCCACAATGGAACCTCCTCCTCCACCTCCTCCAAATGCGCCGTGCCAGAGATTGCAAGGCACCTGCTGGGTATGGATGTTTGCTGCGCTTATTCTCTTCGGGGTTGAAAGTTGCCGCGATTCGTTCTTAACGTTCCGAATGCAGCGACGCCCTGCTAGGTTGATCATTACTGGCGCCGCTAACTGCGGCATAAGCGAAACCCTACCTGCTTCTTAAGCCACCCTGCGCCGATACCCCGCGACTGTCCTCACTGAGGGTCGAACGTAGCTGCGATTCACTCCAAATATTCTGGGCGCAATGTCAAAAGAGACGATGTGCAAACAAAATTCACTGGTGTAGACGAAAATGGAACACATGGAACTCCCCTTTCGCAGGAACCCATACATCCAGCCAATACCTCCACCTCCTCCCAAATGCCTTCGTCGAAGGTGTGTATTGCTCTGCACAGACACGATCAAGAAATATGGGTGGGCATGCGAGCTGCCAGCTGCGCCGAAGGTCTCGAATCATGCCGCGGGCACACACTCTTCCTCCCCCACCTCGCATCAAGCCTCCACCACCCTTTTTTCAATCCCTACCGCCCTCACCGACAGCCTGGCGGTCGACTCGTTCGCGGCGGTCGTCTCGCACGGTATTTCTCCAACCAGGAAGGGCTGGGGACACATAGATCTAACGCAGCTGGGGATGAGTAGGTGATGATGATGGTGATGCTGCTGATGATGATGGTAATAATACGGATGATGGAAAGTGAGAAAACAGTGCGGCGACAGAGTGGAAGCTGCGATGCGAAAAACACCCCCCCACACCGAGGGTTTCGAAGATCGTGCCCTCATGGAGGGTCATCGGTACAGTGCTATTCCACCCCGCAATCCAACCTCCACATCCTCTCTTTTGCCCCCCCCATCTCCTTCCACATAAGCTGTGGTCTCAAGAGCTGGCCCTCATCCTCCAAGCATCAAAGAAAAATCTTGGCGGCATTCGTGTCATGCCGGCCTCAGCTACTGGAGATACGATCCTTGTCAGCTCCCTGACCACCTCGTTCTCCAACAAACCCCCTCACCTCCAACTCCAGCGACACAAGTAGACGGCGGTCGGAAAATGGTGCCCATTGGGGCCGAATTTGCAGATGGCAATAGGAACGAAGATGCAGAATATGACGATTCAAGTGATGTAGGTGATGATAAAACATGGAGACTGATGATAGGGGGAAAACAAACCTACCTCGCTTTTGACCACCCTCGCTTCCAAGAGATACCAAACGATGCCAAATTGCAGCCTGTACTGGTCAGGCCGCTTGACGAGGAGGCGCGTGGTATGGCTTGGTTTTGCCTGGAAGCGAAAGCGGGGTAGGTAACTCACGCTCTGAGATGAGTATGGCTGCGCTGCGACATAAAGGCGATGCAATAACTTATCGACCTGTCTCGTCGTGTCAATATTGAATGGCTGGATGTAACATATCCGTCACAATGTATATATAATGCCTATATCAATTCCGTTCTCGACAATAAACCAATCGCAATACTGATCTTCTACGTGTTCACATTTGTTTCGTAATACATGCGCGCAGCTAGTTACATTCATCCCCTTCGTCTTGGATCATGCCAATGGCTTGGTGGTACTACTTATGCAACATGTGGGGATGTCGTCTACTTCATCACATATCTTGCCGTATACGTCGGGCAAATCGTGGTAAGCTGGCTGTGGGGTCAACCAGCCATTGCACAACAACTCGAATAGGTGGCACTTCCAAACAATTGTTAAGATCGATGTCGCCCCGTGGCTCTTGCGCGCCACCTCTTCCCTCCTCATCCTTCTTCGTCTCCTCCTCCCCATCACTTCAATACCCTCTCCAAAAGCCTTTGGGCCCTCCTTGAGCCTCCAAAAACGGCCGAATTCCCTCGAACACCTCCGAAAGCCTCAGACACCATCCCACGAGCCTTCGAAACGCTGCGAGCATTCGAGCACTTCATACAGAAACAGGACGGCAGGAGGCCTCTGGAGATTTCTGCATCAAGAGGTCTCTGGATGCCCCAGGTCTCTGGAGGCCCGATATGTGTCCCCCAAAGTGGGCAACCAACAGATACGGGATCTCTCGCTCCTCGCCCCTCCATGGGCTGCTGCGGCCACGCTGGCGCGCCCCTCTCCGTCCGCAGACCCCGCGCCCCGAGCCCACGCACTCGTCGGCACGGCCGAAGCGATCTCCTCCTCCTCCTCCTCCTCCTCCTCCTCCTCCTCCTCCTCCTCCTCCTCCCTCCACCTCGTCGCTCCTCTTCCAACTCCTCCTCCTCCTCCTCCTCCTCCTCGCTCCTCCTCCTCCTCCTCCTCCTCCTCCTCCTCCTCCTCCTCCTCCTCCTCCTCTCCTCCTCGCTCCTCCTCGCTCCTCGCTCCTCAGTCTCCTCCTCTCCTCCTCTCCTCCTCCTCCTCTCCTCCTCCTCCTCCTCCTCCTCCTCCTCCTCCTCCTCCTCCTCCTCCTCCTCCTCCCTCCTCCTCCACCTTCTCCTCCTCCTCCTCCTTCTCCTCCTCCTCCTCCTCCTCCTCGCCCCTCCTCCTCGCCCCTCCCCTCCGCGCACAACGACCCGCTGGCGAGGGCCCCGTTGCGGGCGCCGTCCGCGGGCCCCCGGCAGGAGGGCCCGCGGCCGCCGACCGGCACGCGGCCGCACGGACCGCTGACGACTCCGATCCGCGCCGGCAGCACGACTCCGACCGGCAGGAAGAGGAGGAGGAGGAGGAGGAGGAGGAGGAGGAGGAGGAGGAGGAGGAGGAGGAGGAGGAGGAGGAGGAGGAGGAGAGGAGGAGGAGGAGGAGGAGGAGGGGAGGAGGAGGAGGGGGAGGAGGAGGAGAGGAGGAGGAGGAGGAGGAGAGGAGCGAGGAGGAGGGTAAGGACGAGAAGGAGGAGGAGGAGGGGAGGAGGAGGAGGAGGAGGAGGAGGACCACGACGAAGGCAGAATCGAGCCAGAATCGGACCGACACAAAGAGAGAATCTCTGGCATCGGCGTGAGGAGGAGGAGGAGGAGGAGGATAGGAGGAGGAAGAAGAGGAGGAGGAGGAGTGAGCGAGGAGGAGGATGAGGAGATGAGCGAGGACGGATGAGGGAGGAGGAAGAGGCAGGAGGAGGAGGAGGAGGAGGAGGAGGAGGACTAGGAGGAGGAGGAGGAGGAGGAGGAGGAGGAGGAGGAGGAGGAGGAGGAGAGGGAGAGGAGCAGGAGCGATGGGAAAGGACGAGGAGGAGGAGGAGGAGGCAGGAGGAGGAGGAGGAGGAGAGGAGGCAGGAGGAAGGACCACGGCAAAGGCCATGAATCGGAGCCAGAATCGGACGACACAAAGATGAGAATCTCTGAGCATCGGCGGAGGAGGAGTAGGAGGAGGAGGAGGCGGAGGAGGAGGAGGAGGAGTGATGAGGTAGGAGGAGGAGGGAGGAGGGTGAGGAAAGAGAGAGGAGGAGAGGTGGGAGGAGAGGGGAGGAGGAGGAGGAGGAGGAGGAGGAGGAGGAGGTGGAGGAGGAGGAGAGGAGGAGGAGGAGGAGGAGGAGGAGGAGGAGGAGGAGGAGGAGGAGGAAAAGGAGGAGGAGGAAAACCACGACGAAGGCAGAATCGAGGCAGAACCGGACCGACACAAATTGAGAATCTCTGAGCATCTGCGGGCCTGGAATACGTATCGGGCGCCGCGGCCGTCTCAGAGTGCTCCGGCACGCGCTAAGGAGAACGGTCTGGGCCGGATGTATCTCGATCCCAAGCCCGTCCGAGAGCAGGACGGCGCCCGCCGCGGAGCACCCGGCAGTCCGGAGCAGCGAGCGCGAGCTCGCGGGCCGCGCGCGCGCGCCAGGGCGGCCAGCCTGCCAGGGGCGATTTCGCAGGCACTGCACCTGGGCCTCCCACGGGGGAGCCATCCGGGAGTGTGACGCGGGCCCCTTCGCGCCCAGATTGTCTGGGCGTTGTTTCGGGCCGCCTTCACTGGCGGGACCTCGCAGGCAGAATGGCCGTTGGCTCCTTTCAAAGCCCCATGATCTGCGCGATGCAGAGGCTCCCTCATGGGAGGGCCCATATCTTGGGAGGCCACCTCGAGCCGTCCTGGGTCCTGGGGCATCTCGAGCAGTCCAGGAGGCCGCCCTGGGCTGACTGAGGCCATCCTGGAGCCACAGTGGACGACGACGACAACGACGTCGACGACGACGACGGAGCCTCCCAAGGATGCCCCCGAGGTACCCGAACCTTGGACAAAACCTATCCGTGGCCACTGCGCGGGGATCGAGCCGAGCGGGGGGCGTGGCGCCGACGCCGCGGCGGCCGCGGGCGAGCTCACGCCGCGGCATCGAGGTCCGGGGCTCTCTGAGGGCCCGTCGTCGGCAGGAGGGCCCCCAGTCCAGGGGCCTGCAAAGGCGTTCCCCGCGCCGCAGGGGCTCCATCTGCGGGAGGTGGGGCCGACGGCTCCGGAAGCCCGCGCGCGCCATGGGAACAGCAGTCGGCGTCGAGCGGGGAGGGGGAAGTGAGGTGAGAGGGAGAAGGTTCTCAGAAGGCGGCGGGGCCACTCAGAACCCCCCACGGCTTCTGAGAAGCTTCCTGTGTCTTCGGGGGTTGCCTAGAACACTTCTCAGAAGGCCGGGGGGCTTTCGAGTCATCTGGGAAGGCCTGGCCCGTTGTCGTCGTCGCCGTCGTCGTCGTCGTCGTCGTCGTCGTCGTCGTCGTCGTCGTCGTCGATGTCGTCGCCGTCGTCGTCTTTGTCGTCGTCGTCGCCTTCCCCCTGGGCTCGCCGCCGAAGCAGTGCGTCGGGAGGGTCTGGGGCGGTCTCTCCCTCACCTGGCGCGGAGGGCACGTTAGGGCTCCCAACTTCGCGCTTCGCGCTGCGCGAAGCGCGAATAACTTCGCGCTCTCGCGCCGCCCTCCCAAAGGGAGAATAGGAGGACGAGGAGAAGGGGGAGAAGGAACGAGGACCGCGAAGCGCGAAGCGCGAATAACTTCGCGCCCTCGCGCCGCCCTCCCAAAGGGAGAATAGGAGGACGAGGAGAAGGGGGAGAAGGAACGAGGACCGCGAAGCGCGAAGCGCGAATAACTTCGCGCCCTCGAGGGAGCCCTTGACGTATGCAGCCCTCGCGCCGGTTCGAGGCAGGAGCGGAGGAAGGCTCGTCTGGCCACGGCCAGCCTCGGCCACGAAGGGGCTCCCGGACTCGATATAGCCGAGGACCGGCCGGGGAGCCGGAGCCCCTGCCGAGCCACGGTGGTCCTATTCCAGCGCCTCGACGGAACACCGCCAGCGCACCTGGCCTGGGCCATCCAGGGCCCAGGATCAGGGCAGGCGTGTCCTCCTACAGGCGGATTTTGGGCGGAGGAGACAGGTGTCCAAAAATGCTCAAAAACAGTCAAGCATTGGAAACAATTACTGAGCACTCCCACTCCCCCCCAAACTCAAAGCTGGCACGCGCGCGGGGGAGACTGCGGCCGAGGTGCAGCTCATCAGACCCGACGCCAACTTTGAGCACTGGTGGGAGGGGGAGGCGCCGTGGCCAGGCTCAGGCCCAGCGGTGCTAGAGGCCCGATTCCAGCAGGGCCGCATGTCGACAGGTCTGGCCCGACTCCGGAAGACAGGCGTCCTTCGATGATCGCCGGTTTTACCGAAAGGGGGAGGCGTTGACGGATGAGTGCGGCATGCTTGGTTGCTACATTTCTTTTCTCCCCGAGGCCTCTACGAGTTCAGCGCCTCGACGTGGACACCGCCAGGGTGCCTGGCCTGGGCCAGGCCAGGGCCCAGGACCATGCCGTCCACGCCCCCCCCCTGGCCAAGGCCAGGAGGGCCCACGTACACCTTCCGTGGGCCCAGGAGAAGTTCGGGCGTGTCCCCCGGCAGGGGGAGGTTGGACGAAAAATGCAAAATAATAGAAAAATGCCCCAAATGGCACAACAGGTACTAAACAGAATCGTTCCCAGACTATCTTTTGACTATTTTTGAATTTTCCTCCTGTAGAGGGACACGCCCGACTTAAGCCCAGGAAATCCCTGGTTGAGTCAAGCATGGTATTGGTGAGCAGGGGCCTTCGGCGGGCAACTGTCAGCCTGGATCCCCACCGCCGCAAGCCCGGCGCAGGGTGGACGGACAGGCATGCTCGCCGTCGGCGAGAAGGTAGAGGGGCGAGGAGGTAGAAGCACTCTTAGCTGGACCTCGTCCCAAAAAGAGGGCGGCGGGGTTGCCTTGCGCGACCGTGCTCACGAACTCCCGCGTAAACTTGGCAGGGGTCCGCGCAAAGTATATCAGAGAACTCCGATGGTCGGTGCGTGCAAGATTGCGTTCGCGGAGGCAAAGATATGAACAAGAACGTTGCAATGACTACTCGCTGCCTCGCATTTGATCAACAGGCGCCATCTAGCAGAATAGTCTGGACATTGCGAAGAACGCATCCAATCCCAAAGGTATGTACGTGCCGACGGCAGAATTCACACCGTACGATTCTACGCATGTAAAAAAAGCCCTTGCCTATATCCCTTCCCAACCGGGGGGGGGGATCTCGAAGCAGGGATGAGCCCCCCACCCCTTCCTGAATAACATGAGGGTCCCTCCCCCCCTCCGCCATAGTTTCCCCCCTCCTCCCCCTCCTCCTCCCTCGTCGTCGTCGCCGACTCCTCCTCCTCCTCCTCCTCCTCCTCCTCCTCCTCCTCCTCCAAGGCGGCCCGAGAGGGTGGGCCCACGATGACACCCACGAGGCCAACCCTAAGTGTGATGTCCCTGTGGTCTTCAAGTTTTTTGGCGTGCTTGCCTTGCTGGCCTTGCAGCGCTCCAAGATTACCCCAGCACGGCCCACGAGGCCCCACAGAGTGCTCTGGGACGGTCCAAGAAGGCTTCAAGAAGGCCCCCGAGACGGCCCATGAGGAGCGAGAGAACGAAGTGACATATCGAACCCTCTGCCCCAAGATAACCTCCGAGACCGCCAACAGGCCACCAAGAGAACCCCAGAGAGGCCCCCAGAGGCCCCACAAGTTTCTCAAGAAGGCAAGACCAGCACGGGCTCCCATCATGCCCCAGGAGGCCTCCAAAAGCCTCCCAAGGGGCCCGAGAGGCACCCCAAGCCTTCTCATAATTCAGCTTGGCTCTGGTCCACGACCCGGACACGGTGGCAAGATGGGCCGAAGACCACCAGATCCGCCGCCCCCTGTTGGGATGCCACGAGGCTGCACGGCGTGCTGGGTTTGAATGTGATTGGTCTGTGATTGGGCCCTTTGAACAGTTCACAGCGGGCCTTCGGCCGATCACGACTGCCACCAGGAAGGGCCCATAAGGGCCGGTAACATTCCTAGGTTATCAGTCTTCCAGCTCCAGGCGGCCCCAAGATGGCATCCAAGACGATCTCCAAGACGGCTACAATGGTCCAAGGAGAGCCCACGATGGCCCAAAGATGTCTCCAAGATGCCGCCAAGATGGCTTCAGGCTCTCCCAAGACGGCCCCAGAGGCCTCCAATACGAAGGGGCCACAATCATGGATTTCCCTTCGGTGTTTGGAAGGATTGTTGCGTTTGGCTCATTTTCGCCAAGATGGCCTTCTGGGATGGCTCCCTGACGGCCCAAGAGGCGGCCATTCGATCTCCAAGACGGCCCTAAAGAACCCAAAGAAACGACCGCCCAGAGAAGGCCCCAAAACGGCCTCCGAAGGCCAAAAGGTCCACTAGAGAGCCCCCAAAGGCCTCTAAGAGGTCCCAGGAGGCCCGCTTGAGGCAGCAGGAGGCCCCCGACAGGCCCCAATTAAGTTCCCAAGAAGCACCCAGGCCCTAAGAGGGATCAAGGGGCCTCCTCTTGTTCCTCCTCCTCCTCCTCCTCCTCCTCCTCTTGCCCCTCCCTCTCGTCCTCCTTCTTCGCCCTCTCCTCGTCTTTTCTTTTTCTCTCCCACGTGTGCGGTGCCACATCAACTAGGTAAACACATAGTCCAATAGCTTGGCCAGACTTCGTCCCAACGTTTGGCCGCACGGGCGTTTCCGAAAGACAGAGGGGCGGCGGTGATTCGTCGCAGGCGTCTTCGATAGAGGTGGCACGGTGGTATGCTTTTTCTCCCCCAGCCATCCTGTGGTGTTAGGTCCTCGCTTTGAATAGACAACGCCCCGCTGCCCCCTACCTCATCACCATCCTCATCAGCATCATCATCATCAACACCATCATCATCGACATCATCAATATCGTCATCAACATCACCATCATCGCCGTCATCATGTTCACCATCATCATCGTCATCGTCGTTATCATCATCATCGTCATCATCATCGTCGTCATCATCATCGTCTCCATCATCGGCATCATCCTCATCATCACCATCGTCGCCATCATCATCATCATCATCATCATCATCATCATCATCATCATCATCATCATCAGCATCAGCATCAGCATCAGCATCAGCATCATCATCATCATCATCATCATCATCATCATCATCATCATCATCATCATCATCGCCGTTCTCGCCGCCACGATGGACACCCATGTCGGCAAGCCCCTCACCCTTTTTCGTGGCCCCGTACGGAGCTCCACCGAAAGCCCCAGCGGCGGCGCTCGCATGCGGTTCCACCCCTATTTCGGCACACCCCTCACACGTTTCGTGGCCCCATAGAAAAGGCCCCACCGACAGCGCCAGCATGCGGTTCCACCCCCCAATTTCGGTACACCCTTCACACGTTTCGTGGCCCCATAGGGAGCACCACCGAAAGTCCAAGCGGCATCGCCCGCATGCGGTGCCCCCCCCGTGTCGGCACACCCTCACACGTTTCGTGGCCCCATGGGGAACTCCACCGAGGGCCCCAAATTTTGCGTTCGCATGCGGTTCCACCCCAATTCCGGCACACCCCTCACACGTTTCGTGGCCCCATAGGGAGCTCCACCGAAGGCCCCAAATTTTGCGTTCGCATGCGGTTCCACCCCCATTTCGGCACACCCCTCACACGTTTCGTGGCCCCGTAGGGAACTCCACCGAAGGCCCCAACGGCTGCGTTCGCATGCGCCTCCACCTCATGTCGACACACCCCTCACCAGTTACGTATTCCCGTAGGGAGCTCCACCGAAAGCCACAGCGGCTGCGTTCGCATGCAGTTCCACCCACATGTCGGCACACCCCATCACACGCTTTGTGGCGCCACAGGGAACTCCACCGAAGGCCCCAACGGCTGCGTTCGCATGCGATTCCACCCCCGTGTCGGCACACCCCATCACACGTCTTGTGGCGCCACAAAAAGCTCCACCGAAAACCCAAACGGGTGCGTTCGCATGCGGTTCCACCTCAAATCCGGCACACAGCCCACACGTTTCGTAGCCCCCATAGGGAGCTCCACCGAAGGCCCTAATGCCTGTGTTCGCATGCGGTTCCACCCCCATGTCGGCGCACATCCCGCATTTTTCGTGGCCCAATAGGGGGCTCCACCGGAGGCCCCAGTGGCTGCGTTCGCATGCGGTTCCGCCCCCCATCTCGGCACACCCCTCACACGCTTCGTGGCCCCATAGGGAGGTCCACCGAAGGCCCCAACGGCTGCGTTCGCATGCGCCACCCCATGTTGGCACACCCCTCACACGCTTCGTGACCCCATAGGGAGCTGTACCGAAAGGCCCAATGGCTGCGTTCGCACGCGGTTCAACCCAACATTTTGGCGCACCCGTCGCACGCTTCGTGGCTGGAGGCGGCACCACCGAAGGCCGCAGCGGCAGGGTCCGCATGTCGGTGCCGCCCCATTTCTGCACACCCATCGCACGTTCCGTGGCCCCATGGGGAGCTCCTCCGAAGGCCCCAGTGGCAGGGTTCACATGGCGGCGCCGTGCCGATTTCGGGACGCCACTCGCGCAGATCGCGCCCCAGAGGGAGCGTCGCAGATGGCTTCTGTGGACGGAGGCTCCCAGCGATCTCCAGGCAATTCGGATCAGGATGAGTGAGGTTGAGTAGGATGATGAGGGGTAAAGCATGCTGGTTGGGACTCCGCGCTGCGCTGTGCCCACAGCCTCGGACTTTGGAGTGCGCAAGCAAAAAGCGAGGAAAGGAGAGGAAGCGGGCGCGATCCTCGTGCGGGGCGTGCCGACATGGGCGTCGCGGCGTGCGGGCACTGCCGTCGGGGTTCCCGGGGAAGCTCCCTGCAGCGGCCTCGCTCACTGTCACGAGTGCTCAGAATCAGGCAATACCCGAACCATTCACATTCATATACATTTATATTAGGCGTAGCCATGATCGCATTCATGCAACTATATTCACTTGCGCGCAGACTCATTCACACTCATACTCACTCGCGCTCAGACTCACCCGCGCTCAGTCTCTCGTAATTTGACCAATCGTTTTCCTTCGTGTTGTGTACCCCGCCACGCAATTCGGCACACCCCTCATACGGTTCGTGGATTCGTGGCCCCATAGGGAGCGCCACCGACGAAGATATTCACAATAGCGGTACTCACAACTGCATATGGCTGGGTCCTTCGCCAGGACATATGTCTCCAGTCTCGAGGTGTTCTCTCCAAACCGCTCTGGGATGATCGTCGTGCGCTCCTCGGCTCCCTACGCGGCCTTCCAGGGGCCTCCCGATCCCCCCTCCAGGGTCGGCGGGATTGGCCGCAAAGCCTTTCCGTGACACGGAGGTGCCGGGGCCAGAAGCCTCGACCAGGTGAAAGCATGGAGGGGCACGGTGCAAGCCTCGGGCGAGTCCAGGTCATCGACACCTGGCCGTCAAGCAACACGTCTCGCTGCAGACTGCAGGGTGGAGCTGACTGTTGGCTACCACGGACTGGCTCGACACAGCGTGCTTCACACTCTGGTCGTGAGCCGGTCCCCTTTTCTGTCTGTTAGATACTTGAACATCCATGTGAATACGCAGAATTACGCACACACGCACTCGTGCTACAAAATCCGCCGACCCTGTCGGCGGGTGTGAGACGTTCTTCTTTCGTTTGAGTCGTCGTCGCCGTCGCCGCTCCGACCTTTTCCTTGGGCCCTCCAAGCGATCCAGCCAGACTCAAATCGAACAACGTCGTAATTGAGTCGAAAGGAAGCCCCCTCCCTTCAGTCTGGGGGGGGTTCGCCCCGTGGACGCGACCCCCCCACACTCCCGCCGTGACCCCCCTCACTGGAGAGGTGGCCCCCCTGTGGGCAAGGGGAGTTCAAAGCCCCCTTTCCTCCCACTCCTCCCCCCGTCCTGCGGTGGACAAGAATGGACAAGGAGAACTCGATGCTCCCTCCCCCCATCCCGCCCCTCGAAGGGGACCACCATAACCCCCCACACCTCGTCATGTTGATATGGATCATTACACCACTTTTTCTTTCTGGCTAAACATATGAGTAGGCGTTGTCATAAGAAACGTGTGATGTTGAGATAGATGGAACATCACGTGTTTCTTATGACAACCAGTTGTCTGAAAAGAACAGCGAGTATTGTTCAATTTCTCCTCCCAGACCCCCTCCCAGAGGCACCCTCTTCTGTCGGGAGGTGCTGCGTATTTCCTACCTGCGTTCGAGAGGCATCAGATCCGCTCCGAGGCAGCTCCGAGCAACCACGGAACTTCCCAAGTCCCCCAGCAGAGCCTAAGAGGCCCCCAAGAAGGGCTCCAGAACGTCAGCGTCGTCTTCGTCGTCGCCGCCGCCGCCGTCGTCGTCGTCGTCGTCGTCGTCGTCGTCGTCGCCGTCGCCGTCGTCGTCGGTCATCGTCGTCGTCGTCGTCGCCGCCGTCGTCGTCGTCGTCGTCGTCGTCAGGGTTCCCCTTCAGGGTCGGCGGCGCCGGCCGTAAGGCATTCCCAATCGTGCTACACACCATTTTGCACGAGACATCCGCGGATCCCTCCCCTTGCTCTGTAGACACACCGTTCGCTCAGCTGTGCGGGACAATGGCCAAGGCAAACAGCTGAGTTAGAGAGCAACAAGGCCACACATGGCGGGTCCCGCAAAACCCTGAACCCGCGGTGTGCGTGTGTAATTCCCAACCATCCTGTGGTGTTGGGTCCTCGTTTTGAAGAGACAGCGCCCGGCGTCTCCTCTCCTCTCCTCTCCTCCTCCTCCTCCTCCTCCTCCTCCTCCTCCTCTCCCCCCTCCTCCCTCCTCCCATCTTCATCACATCTCCCTCCCTCCTCCCCCCTCCTCCCCTCTCCCCCCCCCCCCCCCCCCCCCCCCCCCCTCCTCATCGTCATCATCATCATCATCATCATCATCATCATCATCATCATCATCATCATCATCATCATCATCATCATCATCATCATCATCATCATCATCATCATCATCATCATCATCATCATCATCATCATCATCATCATCATCATCATCCTCGTCATCATCACCACCAGCATCATCATCGTCATCATCATCGCCATCGCCATTAGTTCCCAACCATCCTGTCATCATCACCACCAGCATCATCATCGTCATCACCACCAGCATCATCATCGTCATCATCATCATCATCATCATCGCCATCGCCATTAGTTCCCATTTCCGCACACCCCTCACACGTTTCGTGGCCCCATAGGGAGCTCCACCGAAGGCCCCAGTGGCAGGGTTCGCATGCCGCCCCCACCCCACTTTGGCACACCCCTCACACGTTTCGTGGCCCCATAGGTAGCTCCACCGAAGGCCCCAGTGGCAGGGTTCGCATGCCGCCCCCACCCCACTTTGGCACACCCCTCACACGTTTCGTGGCCCCATAGGTAGCTCCACCGAGTGGCAGGGTTCGCATGCCCCCACCTCACTTTGGCACACCCCTCACACGTTTCGTGGCCCCACAGGGAGCTCCACCGACGGCCCCAGTGGCAGGGCCGCCCCCACCCCACTTTGGCACACCCCTCACGCATTTCGTGGCCCCATAGGTAGCTCCACCGAAGGCCCCAGTGGCAGGGTTCGCATGCCGCCCCCACCTCACTTTGGCACACCCCTCACGCGTTTCGTGGCCCCATAGGTAGCTCCACCGAAGGCCCCAGTGGCAGGGTTCGCATGCCGCCCCCGCCCCACTTTGGCACACCCCTCACACGTTTCGTGGCCTCATAGGGAGCTCCACCGAAGGCCCCAGTGGCAGGGTTCGCATGCCGCCCCCATCTCACTTTGGCACACCCCTCACACGTTTCGTGGCCCCATAGGGAGCTCCACCGACGGCCCCAGTGGCAGGGTTCGCATGCCGCCCCCACCCCACTTTGGCACACCCCTCACGCATTTCGTGGCCCCATAGGGTGCTCTACCGAAGGCCCCCGTGGCAGGGTTCGCATGCCGCCCCCACCCACTTTTGCACACCCCTCACACGTTTCGTGGCCCCATTGGGAGTTCCACCGACGGCCCCAGTGGCAGGGTTCGCATGCGTCCGCGCCACCCATGTCGACACACCCTTGACACGTTTCGTGGCCCCATAATGAGCTCCACCGAAGGCCCCAGTGGCAGAGTTGGCATGCCGCCCCTCGCCCATTTCGGCCCACCCCTCACACGTTTCGTGGCCCCATAGGGAGCTCCACCGAAGGGGCCCCAGTGGTTGCGTTCGCATGCGTCCCCACCACCCATTTCGGCACACCCCTCATACGTTTCGTGGCCCCATAGGGAGCTCCACCGAAGGCCCCAGTGGCTCCCCACCACCCATTTCGGCACACCCCTCACACGTTTCGTGGCCCCATAGGGAGCTCACCCATTTCGGCCCACCCCTCACACGTTTCGTGGCCCCATAGGGAGCTCCACCGAAGGCCCCAGTGGCAGGGTCCGCATGCCTCCCCACCACCCATTTCGGCACACCCTTCACACGTTTCGTGGCCCCATAGGGAGCTCCACCGAAGGCCCCAGTGGCGCGGTGCCTATGAGAAGAGGGGCCTAGTTTGCGTGCCCCCTCCTTCGTCTCATATCCGTGCGGTACTCGCAGCTGCATATGGTTGGGTCCTTCGCCAGGCTAATTTTTTTGGGCGTATCTGTTACTTCCGCTGGATTCCGCCAGAGGGCCCGCCTCCATTTCACTTCCGCCGCCGTCCGCCGGTCATTCGCCGCTCCCCGCCGAGGAAAAAATGTTAGCTCCTTCGATCCTTCGAAAGCAAGGCCTTGGAGCGCGCCAAATAAAACTATTGCATAGGCAGCGAATGCCCATTGCCCCCATGCGCACCGAGCCGGCACTTGACCGTCACGGGGATTTGCACTGACCTCGACATCGCGTGCACTATGTCCCTCACGACTTCCTGTGGGGGAAGGGCGGGCGGGCGACAATGATACGTCATGCGATAGGCGCATCAACTAAGAAATCAAAAATGTAGTAGATGCCCGACGGCAGCTCTTTATTAGGTGATGGCCCCAGGGACCCACTGAAGTTCGGGGCATTTTAAAACCCACGAGGATCGACGATGCATGGGCCCAAGAACTTCCCATAGCAAGGTTTATTGTCAAATGAGCCAACTGTATCCCCACGACCATGGACCACCTGTACATGCTAATGGAGCTCTGTCGTGCGGTTCAACCGCACGGCGGATCATTTGTCACTTCTGTCGCCGCGTGCCCGTGACATGGCGCGTGATCGGTCGCCGCGTGCCCGTGACATGGCGCGTGCCCGACGTGAGTCAACAAGGCTTCGGTCTCACACCAGGCCAAGAGCAACATGTCGAGCCCTTTCGAAACAATTTCAGTCCAAACGACCCCGCGCAAGAGACACCGGACCGATGATGACGGCAGTCATGAGCACAGCAGAGCCCAGGCTGGAAAAAGGGACAACCCCTGCCTGAGCCGCAGCTCTCCTTATCGGCTCCATTCGATGATTTTTTCCCCAGACAGAACACCTGGGCGACACAACCTTAAGGGAGGTGCCCAAAGTGCCTGCATGAATTCATATGCAGTCGGACCTCGCAATAGAAACGGCAGCGCAGACACGCCCCAGGCGTCGCATCTGCGCCGCCGTTGCGAGGTGCCTCGGCATGCCACCCCGAGACACGAACACCGGCACCACCCCCACTTGGCCGCCAGCCTCAAACAGCGGAAACCCCACTGCCCGAAGACTTAAGTTCCCGCGCCCCCCCCGTCGGGGGACCCCTTCGAGTAACCCCATCGGGCCTCTCATGGGTGGCACGGCGGGCCCGCACCTACTGCGGCTGGCCAGCCACTGGGCAAGAGTCTCTCCCACAGCCCCGCCGGGCTGTGGTGCCGATCGGGCCGCCAACCCGCATGTTTTCCTGGGGCGCCACGAGGGCACCCAGCGGCATGGGCGCCAGCTCCATCCGCTGAGCTTCAGCGCTTGCCGTCCTGGACTGCTCAGCTCTGGCCGGTGCTCCGGGCCCGCCCTGCTCCTCGACATGCTCGAGCTCCCCCCGCGGAGCCGCTCCGAAAGCCTCGTGGGGGCCCCCATCCCGCCGCGTGGCCGCCCGGCCTGTTGCCGAAAGCCGAGCTCCACTGAGGTCCGCCCCAGCTGGCAAAAGAAAGCGGCGGCTCCGACGGTGCAAGCCAACATGGCATGCGGGCGGCCACTCCGACTCGGGCGCACGCCAACATGGATTGGGGAAACGTGGATCTGGCGCGTGGGCACGAATCCACAGATCGGGGGAGGTACCCCCTCGAACATGAGGCCAATGCTGCCTGATTTGGCAACGGAGCGCGGCAACCGTCGATAGCCCACGCGCCTTAATCCAAATTTGCGATTTCTCTACCAACCTTCTCCGCCATCCTGCCTCCTTCCTCCTCCGCCCCGTCCCCACTGACGTGCAGCCAACGTGGGGGAGCTGGGCATCTGTGATTCTGACTTTGGCGTATGCGTCGACTCTGGGGCACTCGTGGACCCTCAGGAGGCCAAGCGATCACACCTCACTCGGCGGCGAGCGAGGGGTGAAAGTGAGAAGGGGCGTGCCTTCCCAGAGGGCTCAGAAGCCCCCGGCCTTCTGAGGTTTTCTAAGCTTTCCCCGAAGACGCAGAAAACCTTTTCAAAGGCGCGAACACTTTTGAGAAGCCCCGCCGCCTTCTGAGAAAGCCTTCCTCCTTCTCACTTGCCCCCCTCGCTGGCCGCCGACTCACGCGGAGAAAGGAGGTCACCCATGAAATCCCCACCTCCCTTGAAAACGGCTTGGAGTTCATTTGGAAAACGTCGTCTCCGTCCGCATGCGCGCAACGATGGCCAATATTTCCGTGGGATCCGTTCGCAGCGCGACTGAAGACCTGCGACACAGACTCCAACACATGGGCAGATGAGAACACAGGGTGCGCCGCCTCCGAACGAAGAGACAACCTGAACATCACTGGGACAAGGTCTAGGCGAACTCTGGACGAAAAAATAAATATTCAACAAATGCACAAGAATAATCAAACATTGTCAAACATAGTAAAACATGTATAAAACATAATCGTCCCAAGACTATTTTTCTACTACTTTAATCTTCCTCCTGTAAAGGGACATGCCCGAATTAAAGGTAGCTCCAAATTCTCGAGGGCGGGCGGTGGGCGGGCCTCGGATTCGGCCGCCGAGGAACGAAATGGGATGGGACGCACAGAGGCATATTAATACGATTTGAGCAGGGGCCGACCGTCCCGGCATTCCTATAAACCTACCACGAAATTCTCTTACACCCCAAACAGTTGGAACAACAAAAACGATGTTCTTAGAACATCAACACGGTGTGTTGAAACAACCCAGCCAGACATGCTCTAAGAACATTTCGCGGAAGCCACACAAGGTTCTCATAACATTCTAGGCCTAATAGGCGCGCCAGGACGCTTCGCCACTGCTTGAAGTATATGTCCTCCTTGGAGGCGCGCGTCCGACCCGAACATACAGCATACAGCATACCCATCCTGTAGCACATCGTTTCCCGAGCGGTGTGGCCAGACGGCGCCCGCCACGACGCACGCTCTGTGAGATTTCTCGGTGCGCGCGTCGCCCCCTGGGGGGAGGGGGGGGGGGCGGGCGGGGGGGGGGGGCGACGCAGACCTCGCGTGAGCATGCTGGGGGTGACGCCGATGGGAGCGAGCGACCGGGCGAGGCGCCGGCTCTGGGCGTGCCTATTGTAAAGTCGGGACTGTCCTCCTACAGGGGGACTTTAGACGAAACGTTAAAAGTAGCCAACAACTACCCCCAAATGGCCCAAACATGCTCAAACAATCGTCCCCCGACTATTTTGTTGAAGCTATCTTTGGATTTTCCTCCTGTAGAGGGACAGGCCCGGCTTAAGCCTATTGGCCTCCTCTGGCCAGGCGAGCGAGGGGCTTCAGATCGGCTCAGACAAAGGGGGCCCCGGGACACGCACATACATACGCGCACCAATCCGTCCCATCTCCCACGCTGGTCCTCCTCTGGTCCTCCTCCCCAAAGGGGGGGTCCAGGGGGGAGTTCTTTTCCTCCTTTTTCTTCTTCCTCCTCCTCCTCCTCCTCCTCCTCCTCCTCCTCCTCCTCCTCCTCCTCCTTATCTCCGCCTCCTCCTCCTCCTCCTCCTCCTCCTCCTCCTCCTCCTCTCCCTCCTGGTCGTCGTCGATGTCTTTGAGGGTCGGCGGCACTGGCCGTCAGGCCTCACAAGAAACAATCATTAATCCCAAGATTCCCCATACCTTCCGATATTTCACAACCATCATGTGGTGTTGGGTCCTCGTTTTGAAGAGACAGCGCCCCGCGTTCCTTCCTCCTCCCGCTGCCCCGTCCCTCCTCCTCGCATCATCGTCATCATCATCATCAGCATCATCATGATCATCATCCTCATCATCATCATCATCATCATCAGCATCATCAGCACCCTCACGAGGATCGTGGCCACATAGGAGCTCCACCGAATCGCCAGTAGCAAAGTGCGCATGGCGGCCACGGGCCACTTCGGAACACCCCTCACGAGGATCGTGGCCCCATAGGGAACTCCGCCGAAGGCCCCCGGTGGCAGGGTTCCCATGGCGGCCTCGGGCCATTTCGGCACACCCCTCGCGAGGATCGTGACCCCATGAGGAGCTCCGGCGAAGGCCCCCAGTGGCAGGGTTCCTGTGGCGGCCCCAGGCCATTTCGGCACAGCCCTCACAAGGATCGTGGCCCCATAGGAGCTCCACCGAAGGCGCCAGTAGCAAAGTGCGCATAGCGGCCTGTGCCATTTCAGCACACCCCTCACGAGGATCGTGGCCACATAGGGAGCTCCGCCGAAGGCGCCAGTAGCAAAGAGCGCATGGCGGCCTCGGGCCATTTCGGCACACCCCTCACGAGGATCGTGGACACTTTGGGAGCTTCACCGAAGGCGCCGGTAGCAAAGTGCGCATAGCGGCCCCGGGCCATGTCGGCACACCCGTCACGAGGATCGTGGCCCCATAGGCGCTTCACCGAAGGCGCCAATAGCAAAGTGCGCATGGCTGCCTCGGTTCATTTCGGCACATTCGTCACGAGGATCGTGGCCCATAGGAGCTCCACTGAAGCGCCGGTAGCAAAGTGCGCATGGCAGCCTCGGGTTTTTTCTGCACACCCCCCGCGAGGATCGTGGCCCCATGGGAGCTTCACCGAAGGCGCCAGTAGCAAAGTGCGCATAGCGGCCTGGGGCCATTTCGGCACACCCCTCGCGAGGATCGTGGCCCCATTGGAGCTCCACCGAAAGCGCCAATAGCAAAGTGCGCATGGCGGCCTCGGGCCATTACGGCACACCCCTCACGAGGATCGTGGCCCCATAGGAGCTCCACCGAAGGCGCCAGTAGCAGGGTTCCCATGGCGGCCTCGGGCCACTTCGGAACACCCCTCGCGAGGATCGTGGCCCCATAGGGGGCTCCGCCGAAGGCGCCAGCGGCAGGGTTCGCATGGCGACCTCGGGCCATTTCGGCGCACTCCTCGCGAGGATCGCGGCCACGTTGGGTGCTCCACCGAAGGCGCCAGTGGCAGGGTTCGCACGGCGGCCTCGGGCCATTTCAGCACACCCCTCACGAGGATCGTGGCCACATAGGGAGCTCCGCCGAAGGCCCCCGGTGGCAGGGTTCCCATGGCGGCCTCGGGCCATTGCGGCACACCCCTCACGAGGATCGTGGCCCCATGGGGAGCTTCGCCGAAGGCCCCCAGTGGCAGGTTTCCCGTGGCGGCCCCATGCGATTTCGGCACACCCCTCACGAGGATCGTGGCCCCATAGTTGTGCTGCTTCAACAACCGCGCCTGGGCGTCGTACTCCGCCTTCTCGACTTGCACCCACACCTCTTCCCTTGGCTCTCGAAACCCTCTCCTGCTTGTGCTCCTCGGTCAGAGGGATGCCGTCCGTGTCGTCGTCAGCGCCCGCGAACACGGCCACGAACGTGTTCCTGAAAATGTCGGGCTCCGGCGGGAAGCCGTGGCCACATAGGGAGCGCGGGCGAAGATGGTATTCACAACTGCGGCATTCACAACTGCATATGGTTGGGTCCTTCGCCAGGCTAATTTATGGGTTTCCGTCTCCCCCCCCCACCATTGTCCATGTTTTCCCATATTTCCTGGGGATCGACGATTAACTGTGTCTGTGCTTCTTGTTCCCCGCCTGAGCAGAATCAGTGGTGTGTAGGGCGGCCCACGCACCGCTGCTTCCGAACTGCCCCGCGCTGGGGGCCATTGCGTGATGCCCGTCCGTCCATTTTCCTGTCGGCACACAACCGGTGGCGCCGAATCGGATCGACCAATCAATCGAATCGGGGGGGGGTGGTGCTCCCGAGCCGGGCGGCCGCGCTGGATCGACCCGGGCGCAGGCCAACAAGGTGGGCCACACCGACCTGCGGGATGCCCGCGGGGTTCCTTTCGCATCATCAGGGAGCAGCCGAACTCGCCCTTCCTTCGCCGGGGGGGGGTAGGATGAGGAGGAGGAGGAGGAGGAGGAGGAGGAGGAGGAGGAGGAGGAGGAGGAGGAGGAGGAGGAAGAGGAGGAGGAGGAGGAGGAGGAGGAGGAGGAGGAGGAGGAGGAGGAGGAGGAAAAAGAGGAGGAGGAGGAGGAGGGAAGGAGCGGGCGAGACTCAGAATTAGCGTTCTGGACCGCGCCCGTATAGCCAGGCGACCCCCGCCGGATGCTCGCCCGCTCGGCTCGCCGCGCTGTGGAGCGGCGGCGGACGTGGGAGGTCTGTCAAGATGCGATGCGGCCGTAGCAGCAACGGCGTGGCAGACAGCAATTGCGTGGCCGACAGCATATGAGAGTAGCAAGAAGGAGGCCATCGGATGCAGAAGGGGAGCGCGTATCTACATACAGAAGTAAGCACGTGCATGATATACATACATATACATATATATAACAATGTAGAACAAATGTAGATCTAGGGAGAGAGAGAAATGTAGAGACAGAGAGATGTAGATAAGGAGAGGCAAGCCTGGGAAGAGACGGGAGATGACCAAAGGAAGGCCGGCAGGGAAGTGGAAGAGCATGGCAAGGACAAGCTGGGAACGCAAGAGAGGAACATCTCTCCCGACTCGAACCTCGCCGGCGTCGAAAGCTGCGCGAACGCGTCGCCCTGGAACCCTCTGGTGTTGCACAGCGGCCATCGTTGAACGGCCACGCGCTGCGGACCGCGGAGACGATGCGCCCGTGGCACCGCCGTCGGGCGGCAACAGAGCGTCTCCATCGCTCGGGGAGGAGAACCGTCAGTCGAAACGTCGTGCAGCGTGCCTCGAGAAGGTCAGCTATGGCTCCCCATCTGGTCAGGGCATCGGTCGTGAAAGGCCTGGGGTCAGGGCGAGTGCCTCTCCGGCGCCCCCTGGCCTTTCGCCGCCATCGGCCAGACGTGTCCCCCTGGCCGATGTCGGCAACCCAACCAAGCCGCCCGATCCTCACGACAATTCCCTCCTCGGAGTCCTGTAGGCAGGATGCGTTCCTGCCAAGCCAACGGCCAAGTCCCCGCCACATCGTGGCCGCACTCGGAGAGGCCCCGCTCGCGCAGATCGAAGATGTTGTCACAGCGATCCCAATGTTGTCTTTGAGCGCGGGAGCGACTTCTCGGCGGCGTCGGTGGCGCCTGAGGAAGCCGAGCGCGGGGAAAACACGGAGGACTACTAGACGAAGAACAGCACGGCAAAAACGGCCCAACACAGATGCACGACGTGCGCCCGAGCCTTCAAACTTTATGCTGGTGCCGCTTGCTCTCCTTCGCGGGCAGCGCGGGAATCTTGTCGCTGGACTCCTGGATCGGCGGTTCGGTCGGCTTGGCAACGACTCGGCCTGGGTCGCGGTCTCCACGCGGCTCCACTGCGTCGTCACTCTTCTCGTCCTCCGAGCGTCGGCCAGCGCGTCCCTGCCCGTCCATGTCTGATGTCTGGCGCTGGCGCTGCGTCCCTCAGCTCGTCTTTGAAATCATGGGCAATATTCTGCAACAACTCCATGCATGGCTCCGTATGCCCGGTTGTTATCCTAGGTGCCAATGCCTTCGCATCGGCTGGAGACTACTCGCCGAACTCCTGAGTCGGCTGCTTGACCAAGTGACCTCGCGATTCGACCTGGCTATTGGTCTCCACCGCATCATTGCGCTTCTCATTCGACCACCCCGTCAATCCATCGTCCACTCTTCCTGCGGAAATGACCGGGCTTCCCCTGTACCATCTCCACGTGTGCGGCGCCGACGCGGACGCGTCCACTGGCTCCTTCGACACCAGAACGTCTGGTTGGCCAAATTTGTCTTTGCAATGGGGGCATTGTTGCCGAACGCGTGGGTCAACGGCTTAATCATACAATAACTCAACACAACGGCCTGGTGCTTGGCCATACCGTGCCCTTTTCGCCCTCTGCGGCTTTCACAGCCGCCATAACGCCATCTCGAACTGCAATTCCAACCGAACCAAAGATTCCGCTTGTTGTGTTGCCCCAGAGTAACCCGCAACCAAGCTCGGATCGGTCAACGTGCCTCAGGGCCCTTGTGTTTATCATGCGACGCCACTGAACCCTTCGAAGCACTACTCGGGAAACGACTGGGGCCCACCAGCAAGACGTCAAGACATGATAATCACTTCTACGCCCCTCCTTACCACTGCCTCCTCCGCGTCCTCACGCTCCTCTTTCCTCACGCTCCTCTTTCCTCCTCCTCCTCCTCCTCGTCCTTCCTTTCCATCTCCTCCATGTCCTGTTCGCCCTCTTTGCCCATATCCTCCTCCGCCTTCTGCTGGACCACTCCTCGTTCTCCATCTTCATCCCCACTCTACCTTTCCTCCCGGTCCCCAGATCGCTCCTTCCTCTCCTCCATCCCTTCTGCCTCCTCCTCCTGCTCCTTCTCCTCCCCCTGACCGTCTCCCCAGATCTCCTCCTCCTCCCTTCCTTCCTTCCTCCCTCCTCCCCCTTCGCCCTCCCTCGTCTCTCCTCCTCCTCCACCTCCTCCTTCCCCCCCATACCCCCCCGACTGCAGGCCGACCGCAGGCCGACTTCGCGGTGCTTGGGGAGGCGGGTGTGTGTCTCAGCCCCCCTCCACAAGAATTCAAACTCCCCGTGTGGTGTACGTGTACGTGTACGTTTGTGTGTGTGCCTGTGTGTATATATGTGTGTATGTGTGTGTGTGTATGTGTGTGTATGTGTGTGTGTATGTGTGTGTATGTGTGTGTGCGGGTGTGTGGGAACTGCGTTTCTTCAGCCAGCGCGTCCTCCGAGAGTTAGCAACGCCCTGTGACCACCTGTGCATATCCAAGAAGAGGTGTGAGTTCTTGGACCACGTTGACCGAGGTTTGAGGCCGAATGTTCTAAGAGCCACGCAGTTTTGCCTGGCATGGCTTCGTCAGTGATCCCATGTCCACTTCTCCCTTCTCCCCCAACTCATTCCTCCTCCCACCATCCTTCCACTCCTCCTCCGCCTCCTCGTCTTGCTCCCGCTCCTCCTAATTCTGTCCCTCGTCCCTTCTCCTCCCTCCGTCTTACCCCTCCCTCCTCAATATCCTTCTCCTTCTCCTCCTATTCCTTCTCGCTCTTCCGTCCTCTCCCTCCTCATAATCTTCAGCATCATCATCACCATCAGCATCATCATTAGCATCATCACCATCATCATAATCATCATCATCATCATCATCAGCATCTTCATCGTCATCAGCATTACTATCATCATCATCATCATCAGCATCATCATCATCATCATCATCATCATCAGCATCGTCATCATCAGCATCAACATCGTCGTCATCGTCTTCATTGTCACTCATCAACCATCAAGCATCACTCAATCATCACTCATCGTCATCAGCAACATCATCATCGTCAACACATGCAACAACATCATTCTTCTCATCATCCCGCTCCCCTCTTCCACCTTCAAATCTTCCGGGCAGTATCCCCCTTGAGCGAAGCCCTCCCGCCCCCATCTCTCCTCCTTCATCCCTCATTCTTGCTCCTAGCTCCTTCCTCCATCTTCTTTCCTCCCTCCTCCTCCTCCCTCCTCCTCCTCCTCCGCTTCCTCCTCCTCCTCCTCCTCCTCCTCCTCCTCATCCGTAGCCATTTTGGCTCAAGCCATTTTGGCTCAAGAGGGTTGGGCGCGCGCACTTGAGAGGGGCGCAGCGCGCCCGAGCCGCGTCGCGGGCCATGGCGGCGTCAGCCTGATCACGACCCGCCAGAAGAAGGCGACGAATGCCGGGAATGGTTTCGGCAAGGTCGTCATTGTGAAAGACGTTGTGATGATCAGTGCCCGCCGGAAGAAGGCGACCAAGGCTGGGAATCGTTTCAGTAAGGTCGTCATCGTGAAGGACTTTGTGATGATCAAGACCCGCCAGAAGAAGGCGACCACGGCTGGGAATCGTTTCGGTCAAGTCGTCATCGTGAATGGCGTTGCGATGATCAGCGCCCTCCAGAAGAAGGCGACCAAGGCCTGAGGTGCGTGGGCCGTGGCGGCGTGGTCTGGGATTGGCCTGGGCTTCCTCGTCGCCTCTGCTGGGCTCGCCTCGGTTCTGTTTCGTCGCCTCTGTTGTTTTTCCTTTGGTTTCTGGCCTGCGTCGTCGCCGTGCTGGATTCCCCTCGAAATAGCTGGGCTTTGGGCTCGGCGCTGGCTCCCCGTAGGAGGGAGCGCTTTGGCTAGGCGCCAGGGCGGGCAAGACCCCCGCCGTCTCATCAGATCCCTCAGATCCCCCTCCTCCTCCTTCTCCTCCTCCTCCTCCTCCTCCTCCTCCTCCTCCTCCTCCTCCTCCTCCTCCTCATCATCATCATCATCATCATCATCATCATCATGCTTCCTCCCTCCCTCTTTCTCCATCCTCCCTCCTCGCTTCCTCCTCCTCCTCCCTCCTCCTCTCTCCTCCCGCCGCCCTCCTCCCTCCTCCCTCCCTCTTCCTCCTCCCTCCTCCTTCCTCCTCCCGCCTCTCTCCTCCCTCCTCCCTCCTCCCTTCTCCCTCCTCCCTTCCCCCCTTCCTCCTCCCTCCTCCCTGCTCCCTCACCGCCTCCGCCTCATCCCTCCTCTCGACATTAACGACTCAATATAAATAGTCTCAACCCTCCCCAGACTGCGTCCTGAACGTATCCCGCTCTCTCCGCGTTCATCTGCAGAGCAAGAATGACACCCTCTCTTGCCGATCATACGACTTATCTTGGAGCGTGTTTGGCATTTCAAAATCATGCTACCACTGCAGCGCTGGCACCATTTCAGGATCGGCGCGCTGTTCCCATCGTCGGTGGCGCTCTCGCCCCAAAGCGGGCCACACTTCTGGATCCGAGCATTTCCTAGTCATCGTCGCCCCTTCCCATCCCCTGCCCCGCCTTCCCCTGGTCCTATTGCTCCTCCCGCTCCTCCTGTTCCTGCTGCTGCTGTTCCTACTCGTCCTCATCCTTCCTTTTCCTCCTGCTCTGCCTGCTGCTCATCTGTCACCTCTTCCTCCAATGTACACAACTCCCCTTTGTCGGAGTGCGCGTAACACGATGAGGTCCTTTAGGGGATGCCAGGTCCTGTGCCACCTGTGGGCAGAGAGAAACACGTCAGCGCAAGGGGAAGGGCTGGGTGGGAGGGGCAGGATCTGAGAGGTGGCGCGATCGCACCTAGCATAGCTTGCCTCTCCTCCTCTCTCTCGTCTCCCCTTCCCCCCTCTCCTCTCTTCCCCCTCCTCTCGTCACCTGGTCCTCCTCCTCCTCCTCCTCCTCCTCCTCGTCCAGATTCTCCAGATCCTCTGGGCGCTCCTCCCGCTCCTTGAGCACGGAGGGGAAGCGGCTCCAGAGGGCAACGGGGACTCTCGACCCTGGCGCCTTCCCCCAGGACGGCCTCTTCGTCCTGCGTATTTCTCTGACGGTCCCCGGGGGCCCGTGGAGAGCCCCGGGAAGCCAAAGGTGGCGAAACGCTTCGGGAGCCGTTTCCCTCAGGACCCGTTTTTCCCCCGTGGCGAGCTCATCATCCCCCCCTCCCACCTCTCCACTTCATCTGCACCTCCCCCTCTCGCCCTGGTTCGGGGACGCACTGACCCTGGTCAATGCAAGCCCGGGTCAGTCAGGCTCTGCAAGATCCTGCAGGATCCTGCGCGCTAGCCCGGGCCAGTGCACCCCTGGCCCTACGGGGTCCTGCAAGATCCACCGTCTGGCTCACCCCCATTTGCATTGACCCCTGCCCCTTGAGCCCCGACTGATCCCTTCTGAGACGAAGCCAGGACGAGGATCAAATCGGGTAAGGATAACCCGAGGATCTGTGCGATTTGGCGGCTCTGGTGGCTGTCTCGGGCGGCTCTGGTGGCAGCACGTTCCGGAACGCTCTGAGAGCGTGGCGGAATGCTCAGGCATGGATTTCTCCTCGTCCTGGCCCCCTCTGCCTGGACCCTCGTCCCTGGGGCCCCGCCCGACCTCCTCCGCCTCCGCCCGCGGCCGCGGCAGCCAGCACAGGGAGCTCAGGCCGGGAGCCCGGGCCGAGGCGGGACCGGCGGAGACGCGTCGCCACGCGGCACGACGGGCACCCCACGTTCAGGTTGACCTATCCCCCGGCGGAGGACGGCCGCGGCCGCGCAGGGGGAGGGACGGTGCGGCACTCCTGGAAGCGTCGCGCGACGCGCGTGGCGTGCACCCAAGGAGGAGGCAGGCACACGGAGCAGCTTCGGGCCCCCGTGAGCCCGCAGCCACCCATCCTCGGGATCTCGGCGGCAGCAGCAGCGAGGCGGAAGTGTGGCTCCCAGAGGCCAACCTGGCCACATCACTAGAGGCCTCCTATATGGGGTCGGCTTCGACGACATCGACGATGCATCGGCGACGCCGGCCTGGAGAATATCGGGCTCCACATCGAGCCGCATTGCCGATGCATCGACGATACGGCGCGATCCTCCGACCCCATCTATACTCGAACCCCATCGAGAAGGCCTGGAAGAGGCGGGGGAAATGAGGAGAAGGCCTTCTCAGAAGGCCGCGGGACTTGAAGTTTTCTATGCCCTCGGAGGGGCTTAGAAACCTTCACAGAAGGCCGGGGGACTTCCCAACCTTCTGAGAAGGCCTTCTCCTTCTCACTTCCCCCCTCGCTCGCCGCCGATATACAGTCGGACTTGATTGGAGAGGATACGCGAGAGGACACAAGACCCTTCCGAGGGCCACGTTGCCACAGAAATGCAGGAGGCATGGCTCGCAAGACACAAGACACGAGGGTACTCTTGATCTGGCAGGGTCGACCTACTAATCCGGGCCGCCTGTAATCACCACAATCGCCGAGAGGACACATATCAATTCCCGACTTTGACGGGAACCCACGTCCACGACGGCGCAAAGCCTCGAGCCACTTGCGGGTGGGCAGCCGCTGAGGGAGAGGGAGATTTTTCCACCACCACGACCACAGGCAGGAGAGGGAGGAGGAGGAGGAGGAGGAGGAGGAGGAGGAGGAGGAGGAGGAGGAGGAGAAGGAGGAGGAGGAGGAGGAGCAGGAGGAGGAGGAGCAGGAGCAGGAGGAGGAGGAGGAGGAGGGCGGATCGAGGCTCGAAGTTCGAGGGTCGAGGCTTCTGGAGGCGTCTGGTCCTTGCTCTTGGGCCTCCGATGCCCCCCGCCCCCCCCCCCCCTGGAATGGAGGCTACGTCCTACGGGGACTGGGACTGGAGGACCTTCAAGGAAAAATGGGGAAGACCTGAAAGTACCGAACTCCCTGGACCTCTCCCTCGGCGCGCTCTGCCCCGGATTTGTAGGCGAGTCCAGTGGTGGCGACGAGGGCCTCCCTGGAGGCCCCAAAAAGCGAAAACGAGAGAAGAGGGAAGGGTCATGGTGTGGGTACCCTTTGTCGGAAGAAGTGGGTAAAAGCATGAAGAAGGAAGGCGGTGAAAGTAGATTGGGCTTCGGCCAGCCCCCTGAAAAAGGAAGGCGCCCAAAGAACATTTGGGTCTGGTAATCCAGAACTACCTACTTTCATCGACTGACGGGGACCTTTTCCTCCTCTGACCTCCAGTCGGCGGCGAACGAGGGGGGAAGTGAAAATGAGAAAGCCTTCTCAGAAGGCTCGGAAGTCTCCTGGCCTTCTGAGAAGTTTTCTGAGTCTTCCTCGAAGACACGGGACACTTCTAAGAAGGCGCGAGGGCTTCCAAGAAGTCCCGCCGCCTTCTGAGAAGGCCTGCTCCTTCTCACTTCCCCCCCTCACTCGCTGCCGATTCTAGGCCTCCTCGATGGGGTTCGCGTATGGATGGGGTCGGAGGATCGCGACGTATCGTCGATGCGATGTGGAGCCCGATGTTCTCCACGCCCGCGTCGCCGATGCATCGTCGATGCCGTCGGTGCCGATGCACTTCCTCCCCTCGCTCGCCGCCGTTTCAGGGAAGAATGCGGTGGATGGGGGTGCTTTGGGCACAGGCTGGAGCGGCGCCCCTTCGCCAGCACGCCCTCCTCCTTTCCCTCCTCCTCCTCCTCCTCCTCCTCCTCCTCGTCCTCCTCCTCCTCCTCCTCCTCCTCCTCCTCCTCCTCCTCCTCCTCCTCCTCCTCCTCCTCCTCCTCCCCCCCCTCCTCCTCCTCCTCCTCCTCCTCCTCCTCCTCCTCATCCCCCCTAGGGGGGGCACAACGCCCCGCCGCCTGCGCGCTCTTCCGCCCTGGCTGCTCCCGGATTTCGCGCGCTGGTTCAAGGGGGGGGGGCAATACTACACCACGAACATATAAACATGTACATATTTAGATGTATGAATGTATGTATACATACAAACGTACACACGTATATACACACATACACGCATACATGCATTTGAACACACAACGCGTACAACCGCACACACGCACATACATACATGTATGCATGAACGTATACATACACATACAGACATACGTACATACAGAAAACCATATATAAAACATATCTGCATACGTGCATACATACACATATACATACAAAACTGCACACGCACCCACACAAGCATACACACATACACACATACACATACATACATACATACATCCATACATCCATACATCCATCCATCCATCCATCCATACATACACACATACATACATACACAGAAATGCATACATATATACAAACACACGTACACACATACATGCACGCATACAGCCATACACGTTTCCATGCATGCATGCATGTACGCATACATACACATTTCACACATGCATGCATCCAGACATGCATGTACACATACATACATACATACATACATACATACATACATACATACATACATGCATGCATACATACATACATACATACATACATACATACATACACACAAACATATAAATACGCGCACACATACAGACACATATGCATACATACACACATACAAACATGCACCGGAGGCCTGACAATTGCCTCCAAGAGGCCCCCAGGAAGCCTCCCACGAGATTCCAACGAGCATCCAATCCACGACCCAGACAAGGTCGCAGGGGTGGGCCGAAGGCCATGTATGTTTGTATGTATGCATGTATGTATGTATACATTTATGTGTGTCTATATGTTATATACATACACATATATATATATATATATATAACATTTATATAGCTACAACCATCGCGCGCGCTTCGCGCGCGCTCAAATTCTAGCTAGGCTTAACAAACTATCGCATGGGATCGCAATTATTGAATTGCTCAGTACGTTGAACAACCGTCTCGGAGTCCCTGCGCAAGCCTCGGAAGCGTATAGCAGGGGAAGTGCGGAAACCACATAATCATCATTTCTATGAGGTGCTCGATGATTTGGGGCCCTCGGAGGCTTCCTAAGATCGTTCGTCGATGGTGAGGGGGGCCTTAGTTATGGTTTGTTGTGCAAGTATAAGCAGGGGGTACGTTCTTTTATATAAAGAGAAATCCAATCATCCCCTTTTTTCAAACGTACTCCCTGGGCGTCATTGCCCCTTGTCGACCGCCATACACATTGGATCATCATTCCTAAATTTTCGGTTGCTATTGCATCTGCACTGTCGGGGGGGCGCCAAGCCAAAAGGGATGGCGCCAAGCCGAAAAGGCTGCGCGACGGCCTTCCCCCGACGCCGGGTGAAGGACAGATGAGGAGGGTGGACGGACAAGATAGTGTCGAGGCAGAGGTGGGAGGGCGAGGGCAGGCTTGATAGGGCGAACTTGAAAAGGGGAGTCTCAGTGGTTCCCTTTTTCAAGTTCGGCCTCTACTATGCAGTAGTAGCAAGCGGGGCGCGCTCAAGTTCCAGCTTAGCTGGATCGGCTAACTCATAGAATCTCGATTGTCGACGTTCCTTTCATCTGCGGGCTCTCTTGAAGGCCCTGCGCAAGCCTCGGATGTGTATAGAAGGGCAGAACTCGGAAACGCAGAATCAGCAATTTCCGGTGGTATTCGGAGATTTGAAGCCCTTGAAGGCTTCCTTGGGTCTTTCTTGGCCGGTGATGGGGGCCATGATCGCTGCTGGTTGTGCAAGAGTAGCGTGCGGTAGGGCTGGCTGGCTTTGAAAAAAGAGAGTACTGAGAATTCCTTTTCAACCAAATTGCCATGCTTGGGCTGTTGTCAGAAGTCGCCGGGATACAGGCCATGGTCTGGTGGGATGGCCGTCGGGGCCTTTTTGGCGGCGTCTTGGAAGTCTTTCGGGGCCTCTTGGGGAGCACCTGGTGCCTCCTGGGAGCCATCTGGGGGACGCCTCGAGGACCTCTGGGAAAACCGTGGGGCCACCTTTGGGCAAAGCGCTCGTAAGGCTTTGGGGGGTCCCCTACCTAGGCTGAACAGGTGAACTCATGGGAGCCAGATTTTTACGGTGATTTCAGGGGCAGCCTTGAGAACACGAAGAAGACCGAAGAGAGTGCCAAGACAGAGTTAGAAAGTTCAACAGCATTCCTGAACAATATTTGCCATGTGACCCCGAAGTCTTGATGGGGTTCGGGATGAACTTGAACAACAAGATAGTCACTTAATGCTTGTTTTGTTTCAGATGGAACCGCCTAACATGTAGTACGCAAAAACCGGGGGGGCCTAAGAGGCGCGCAAGGAACTCATGGGTGGCAGTTTGAAGCCGTTGGGGAGTTTATCGGGGGCCTCTTGGAGCCACTTTTTGGGCCTCTTCGAAGCTCTTGAGGGCCTCTTCAAGCTCTTTGGGGGACTCTTGGGGCCTCTTGGGGGCCTCTTGGAGCGGAAAGCCGGGACAGTCGATTTGCGTTCCCCCTGTTGAGGGCTTTTCGGGTCATCTCGGGGGTCTCTTGGGCTGCCTCGGGGCTCTCTTGGGCCGTCTTGGGCGGTCTTGGGGCGGTCTTGGGGGCCTCTTTCGGCCGTCTTGGAGCGTTGGAAGCTTGAAAACGCGAGAAGGCTAAAAACAACAGAAAACGCCTCTTCAGGCGCTCCCGACCCGCCTCTCGGAGCTCTCTTGGGGCGCCTGGAGAGCCGTTGGAGGTGCGTCTTTTTTTCATGGCAGGCGCTGTGCCTGTGCTCTGCCGCTTGGTGGGGGAGGAGGAGGAGGAGGAGGAGGAGGAGGAGGAGGAGGAGGAGGAGGAGGAGGAGGAGGAGGAGGAGGAGGAGGAGGAGGAGGAGGAGGAGGGGTAGTACGCACGCGCGTCGTGAGGGTAGAGATATCGGTCTGCGCCCAAGGCCGCGCCGCAGGCCTCGCGCGGTGCCGGGCTGTGCCCCGCCCAGCGCGCGCTCCGGCCGTGCGGTGCTCGCACGCGCGGGAACTGCGCCGCGATGCCCCGCCCGATCAACGCGCTAGAGATTCACCATCGAGGAGCCGTCAGCATGTCCCATCCCCCGAAGTCGACGTATTGCAGACAAGGGCAGCGCGCCAGGTGCTCCGCGGCCCTGTCCGTCAGCTTGCCACAATAGGCAAAATCCACGGATTGCAAAGCGGCGCAGCGCGCCAGGTGCTCCGCGGCCCTGTCCGTCAGCTTGTCACACTTGGCAAACTCCACGGATTGCAAAGCGGCGCAGCGCGCCAGGTGCTCCGCGGCCCTGTCAGTCAGCTTGCCACCTTCCACGAAATTGACGGATTGCAAACAAGCGCAGAGCGCCAGGTGCTCCGCGACCCTGTCCGTCAGCATGCAACATGCCCGGAATTCGACGGATTGCAAACAAGGGCAGCGCGCCAGGTGCTCCGCGGCCTTGTCCGTCAGCCTGCCACAATATGCAACATCCCTGGATTGCAAAGCGGCGCAGCGCGCCAGGTGCCCCGCGGCCCTGTCCGTCAGCTCGTGACATTCCCCGAAGTCGACGGATTGCAGACAAGCGCAGCGCGCCAGGTGCTCCGCGGCCCTGTCCGTCAACTTGTCACATCCCCCGAAGTTGACGGATTGCAGAGCGGTGCAGCTCGCAAAACTTGCTGCAGCTGCATCTTTCAAGAGGATGCACCCGCTGACATCTATCGCCTGCCGCAAGCAAAACGCTGCATCCGCAAGACGTCTATCGTCGCGAAAACCTGAGCAAACTCGCAAATCCAAGAAGGACCCCCTTGTCACCGAAATAATTCAGAATCTGACCTGCGCATGAATCCGAAATCTGAAAAACAAACTATGCGCCCCTTCCCATGGGATCCATACTTGCTCGTGGCAGTGCGGCCGGGGAATCCTCAACAAGATACCAACGCCTTCTTGAGCCAGAGCCAAAATGGCTACGGCCGTTGGAGGTCTGTCTTGGGCTGCTTGGGAGCGTCTTGGGCCGTCCTTTCGCATTCTGGGGGTTCCCTGGGGGCGTCTTGGGCCGTCCTGGGGCGTTTTGGGGCCTCCCTGGGAGGCCCAAGCGCGTGGTACTGGGGAGTTGCCCCCAGATGTCACGGAGGTGGGGCAAGCTCCCGGGGGGGGTATTTGTTCCTATTATATTTTTACATACAGACGCCCTCCGTCGAATTTTGCATGTACCTTGGTGTACCAAATCGCTGGCTCTCAGTGGTGATTCGTACACCGCCACCCGCCACCAAGGAACAATCCATTGGAGGGCGCCTATGTGTATATATCTTTGTGGCGGACATGCAACAAAGGGGTGGAAGAACGGTGCACCATCCGTGCACCTTCGAGGCCCCAGGGACACCTTCAGGAGCCTCTTCCTCCGAACCCCCTGCGGACCCCTTCGGGTCGGCTACACGCACGCCCAAACATGCGACGTCCTGATTTTTGCAGTGCGGCGTCCTGGAAGTCCCGACCCTCCCCGGGGCCGGTTTTTCATCCTGAGTCGTTTTTTGACGCTCCTGGGGGCCGGCGAGGGCCCCCAGGGGTCGAAAATGGTGAAAAACTTGCCGTCGTGATTGTTTTACGACGCGATCATGTCTGGGAGAATGGCCCTGGGTAAGAATGACCCTTGGTGCGCGGCTTCTTGGGGGCCGCGGGGGGGCCACACTCAAGCGCGCGGGACGCCACCACCGCACCGCGCTCGGCGATCGGGGGACCTCGTTGGGCCCGCACCAGGGATCACTCCGGCGAAGGAAGGGTCACTCTCACGTCTAGCCGACCCCTCCCCTCGCGAGGCGGGCATTTATCCACATCAACCGCCTGCGAACCGACGTCCTGGTGCCCCGCCGGGCGGTGGATCCCCTGGGGCACGAATGTAATTATCCCTATCCGCTCCCAGACATGGAGGTCCGAGAAGATCGATGCCCCAGGAGGTGGTTCTGGACCCAGACATGCGACGTTCTGATTTTTTCAATGCGGCATCCCGGAAGTCCCGACCCGACCCCCCCAAGGGCCCGTGTTTCATCCCGAGTCGTTCCTTGACGCTCCCGGGGGCCCGCGAGGGCCCTCAGGGGCCGAAAATGGCGAAAGCTGTGCCGCCCTGATTTTTGTTTACGACGCGGTCACGTCTGGGGAGAAGCTCCCGCCTCGGGCCCCAGGGCGGAACTGCTCTTAGGTCGGGTCTGTCCCCCTACAGGGGGATTTTGGGCGACAATATAAAAAAGACTCAAAACATACTCCCAAAATGCTCAAGAATAGTCGAAAAAACAGTCCCCAGAGCATTTTTGGCTATTCTTGAATATTCCTCCTGTATAGGGACAGGCCCGACTTAAACTTACTCATGCAATACGCCCTATCGCGAGACACTGCACCTCCCTACATATCACAGAGATCGTAGCTCTTGCGCTGTGTTCCGCCAAACAGGTGCACTAAAACCGTGCCGATTGTGTGCACGCGTCGCACACCGCAGCATACCAGAACGTGCCACAGCACATTACAACACACTCGACCACATGAATTTGCACGCGCGCGCACGCATGCGCGCATGCTCGCAAACGTTCTGGTTGGAAGCATTGCGCGTGCGTCGCATCGTGTCCACTCAGCACGGTTGCCGCAGCATGCGATCCTCCCCCACAGCAGAATGGAGCGCCTCGTCGTACCCGTAGCGCTCCACGGCTTGCGCTGCCTGGGATTCTGGTTTACTCTTCAAGCGGCAAATACGTATGGCTCGCCGATGCGGAACACATACAACTACGAGTAATATTATATGCCGTGGCCGTCCCGTCCCGTTTTGCATCCCTTCAGCGAGGAAAGAAACACGAGGCGGGCGTTGAAGTCATCAGGGCTCAACCTCGTGCAATGATTTCCTCTTGGTCCTCTGCTGCCGTCGGGCGGCGGGAGTCGCCGCAGGCAGCTGGAACCTCGGCACACATACTACGACAACTAGCAACAAATATCAAACCATAACCGTAGCCACATTGCGAGACCGATTGTCGCCAACGTCTGTGGCCTGGGTTCTTCTGCCAGCATCGACCGCGAAAGCAAGGATGGACGACAGCAGTAAGCCAGAACGGATGAGGAGGGAGGATCGGCGGCGAGCGAGGGGGGTGGGAAGTGAGAGGGAGCAGGCCTTCTCGGAAGGCGGCGGGACTTCTCAGAAACCACTCGCGTCTTCTGAGAAGTTTTCTGCGTCTCCTGGGAAGGCTCAGAACACTTCTCAGAAGGCCGAGGGACTGCCGAGCCTTCTGAAAAGGCCTCCTCCTTCTCACTTCCCCCCCTCGCTCGCCGCCGAGAGGAGGGATGATCGAGAGCGCTGAGAGGTGGAGGGCGGTCTCGGCCCATCACTCAACCAGAAATGCCCCGAAAACTCGTGGAGAGACGCCTCCTCCACCAACCGGTGCGCACGAACACCCCCGTCCCGCGCGCCCTGCTCTCGTCCGTCCCCTTGACGAC